AATATTAAAAAAGAATTCTGTTCTATTCCAAATTCCATGTCTTGGCAGCCAGGGAAAAGATACTATGTCATTTCCAAAAGCTTTGCAGTGATCCCTTATACCAGACCTCCAGAATGCTTTGTCACAATGAAGTTTACTTCATTCCTTGGAAATATTAAATGCATTCCTGCTATAATGAAACACCTTATAAACACCACGTGACAGAAACATGGAGTTTAACAAAGCATTTCCTTCCAGCATCATAACATTTAGGGCCCCGACAAGAATTTTATTATCAAATAACTAACCACACAATAAGAGAAGTTTGAGGCTTGCAAATTCACCTCGTGCAGGCAGCACAAGCGGACCCAACTGCAAGCAGCATCAGCCTGAAGCGCTTCCGCCCACAGACTCCTACCTAATGCTCGTCAAGCAGCTTCAAGTACTCCCGAGTTTTCAAGATGTCATCTCTAACGTTAAATGCAGTTTTAAGCACGACCCTGTACGACAGCAGCAATTCCTGTTGCTCACTATTCCTATTTTGGACAACATATTCGGAGCGTACAGCCCACAGCACTGAATTACACCAGCATCAGGGAAATTTCTTTAGTTACTACTGGAAATCACTACGGTGTGTCTAAGCAAGTAAAGCCAGTGTTTAACAAGACCCCTTCTGCCATGCAACTTGGTGGGAGCAAGGGGGTTTGCACTCACCGTAACAGAGCTCTATTTAACCGCAGGGCTACAGCATCCTAGGGGATATCTGCACTGCCTCAACTCTGCCAGCATCTCGAAAAAGTCCTTCTTGAACTAATTTAACAAATACGGCTTCGTAGGTGAGGAGTGGCCCGAGGTTTTGGCTTCTTTTAATGGCAAAGCTTTTATCCAGGAGGGACCTGATCTTACTCTCAAAGAAATCATCCAGCTTCATCGTGTAAATGAGAAACCAGTATTTGTTACAAATGCTCTGATGTTACATGTTACCTGTTCTGAAGAACCTTATTTTAAAGCCCATAGTAAAAAGAAAAGGTATTTTTGAGCTAGATTAACTTTTGTTGGAGCCGGTGATGCCAGCTCCTTCCCAGGTTTGAAGCTCGACGTGCTCACAACCATGCGGTGGGTTGGACACAACAAGAAGAGGCTCAACTCCCTTTTCTGCACTTTGTTTTAAACATCAGCCATCTCAGAGCTTCATCGCAGTATTTTCAACACCTCATGATTACAAAGTCCAGAAAGAATGAATATGGTCAGTGACATCACAGTGATGTCATTGGAATGCTCCAGGAAAAGGCAACCAAAAAGAGAAAACAAACCCAACTCAGAAATATTGTAATCGCACAAGCTTACAACAAGGCAAGGAGAACACTGGGCCAAGAAAGACTACAGAGACACAGATCATCACATGCTCTATTCAGAGTAGAAATAAACATGCTATTCTAAACATTTTTCAAGTTTATTTTCAGAAAATCTTGAGCAAAAATAGAAATAGCAGTCTGATATATAAAAAGGCGTTAATGGTGGCAGCAAATTATTTGAACAAAAGTCCACAGAGGAAGAATACGAGGAAGATGTTCAACTGTGAGAAAACGCCTTTGAGAGGAGAAAGCCTTTTGTGCAACACCACCTCTATATCTGGATTTTTGCAGATGTTAGGTAAAATATTCTGACAGAGGCTGGAAAACTACCGGAAATCAGCCTGTTTACTTTGACAACTAAAATTCAAAACAACATGTCAAATGACTCTCTGCTCCATGTAATCACAGCAATATAATGGAAGGGACACTCTGATCTGAAGGAATTTAAAAGTCTCAGCCAATTGGCAGCACAAGATTAAGGGTCTTATTCATACCCCAATTTTTGCATTTGGAGAGGAAGGGGAATTCTTGTGGTGCGACACATGGAGTCAAGTCAGATCATAAGCGTAAATGCCAAATACTGCGCAAAAATCATCATTAAACACCTGAAATCCCACTTGTGCTCAGACAGAAAAGAAAAAGTGCAAAATATAATGAATATTTGAGTCATTCTGAAACCTCCCTAGTTCACTGCCACCAATTTCAGTGGTTTTAGCCAAGCAATAAAAAAGGTTAACAGCTCAGCACCAGCACCTGTCTTCAAGAGCCCATTACACACTACGATGCGAATTAGATTCTGTAAACAGTAAGTTTACCACTAGTTAGCTACTACTTCTGCAAACTCTTCATCAGATCAAATCTCTGTCCCGAGAAGTCCGTGTTTTTCTTATACGGCTTGTATTTGGAAATGACTAAATGGATCAGAGAATAAATTTCATTCAGTCCCTTCAACTAGTAGTACTATCAGCTAATACACTGTTCAAATGCAGTGTTTTAATATGGACAAAGCCCATTTCATATGGTCAGTTACACCTACCATGGCTCAGACATCCCCTTGCAGATACTTCATGGCTCACTAATACATTTTCCTTTCACTGCAGCTGCAAAGTTGGTCCACTGTAAAACAAAATCCTATTTATACCTTACTCCTGACGAGAAGAAATCAGTATCTTCACCAATTAGAGCACACAAGACCTACAGCTGAAGTTTTCAGGCATCGGGCACCTCTGCATTACATCCTCGCTCCAACAAGTAAGCTCCCAAGCACCACAAAACATAACCTCAACCATCATCGTTTGATACCAAGAACCCAACACAGATACACAGAGACCAAAGCCATCCAGTACTCGACTGGAACAAGTGAATCACAGCACTGCAACTGAGGATCCGCAGCAGGATCCTGAGCCAATGTGACTCCAGAAAAGGTTTACTGAACCAGAAAAGCAACAGCAGCAATCCTGGTTGGGCGCCAAAAGCAAGGAAATAAACAGAACGGAGCCCTGGAAGATTTCACCACCAGCAACAGAAGCTAGGATGAGCAAATACTGAAGCATCTACTAATTTTGGTTCACTTACCTCCGAACAGACTAGAAATCTAATGGCAGTAAACTGGCATTTAAAAGTCATTCAGGGCAACTGAATGTTTTTCTACCCTCTTCTGATACATTCCAGGGCTTAAAAGTTTACCCGTGACATTCTAAACAAACTGTCTTTCTGCACTCTGCTCTGTTAAACCAAGAATAACTACTGCAAACCTAACACAAATAACTAAAGCACAAGCAGCAGCCACGGTGCTTCTGTGTAGGTGGTTTGCAAGGCTTCTGCAGAGCCCAAGGCAGCCAAGTCCATCACAGGGTGAGGCCTCCCACCTCCATCCCGGGAAGTGGAGCAGGAGAAGGGTCTCTTTACCTATATTGACTTCTCTCCACTAGTTCTGCAACTGGGAGGTGAAGCACACAAGTCATACAGCCCAACAGCAGTATAAGAAAGGGGGAGAAAAAAAAAAAAAAACACAGACCAGAAACCAGGACCTTGTCTAAGAAATCAGTTCACAAAGAACATGTAGGTGAGCTCACCATGCCAGCCGGGTCTGGAAAATGCATGAGCAGGAATACTCACTACTTCTCACTGGAAGGGAACTTTTCCACCACTTTGCTTATGCGAAGGTAAGCTAAATGGTAGAATCTGTTCAATACAATCAGTATGGGTCATACACGATCCTTGCAATCTTAGTCATGAAGCACAGACTCACCATTTTAATTCCTATTTCAACGAGTAAAGACTTGAAGCTACCAATTGTCTACATGTCTACTGCCCATTTGTTTCCCTCCCTATATCAGGATCAATAACTGGTAGCAGAGAAACATTCATACTTAAACATGAGATCTTCCTTAACTGCAGGCTAATCAGCTAATTTAGACAGACTCCTTTATTCAGCTTTACATATACAGTACTATTATTAAAGTTATAAACTTTAATTTGACTTAAGAAATGTCATTTACTAATTTAGTACGCAAATGCTTCTACAGTTGTTTGCATCAAGCTCCACATAAACTACAGTGGACTTATAGCACGTAAAGCAACATTTTAAAGTGGCTATTATAGCCACTGTAGAGCACAGAATAGTTGGGCAAAAGCATTCACTGAAGCATTTCATATTTAAACGGATTTACCAACACTAGGAGTACATACAACTAGCAAAACAACTGCTTTCTGGGAACTGTATCCTTCACTATCAAATACCTATAGATTTCATTTCCTCACACTATTCTTGTTTGCGTACTGGAAAAGGAGAAGCATTTTCTATTTACTCGGTCTAACTCTGAATGATATCGAACAAACAGGAACAAAAGAAAAGCCACACACTCTGGTCACCTGCAGAAAAAGTGAACAGCATCAGAAACTTCATGGTGAGCTGGAGCAAAACCCTGCCATAAACATTCAGAAGGGGATGGCAGAAAGCTTCAGTGGCTTTCATTTTCCTTCCAAAAGCTCAAGAGCCAACAGATGAGACTCACATACTTCTACCTGAAGACAGGAAATGTTATTTGGAACACGATTTCAATTTGAAAGCGGCACGCTTAAAAACCAGGGGTAAAAGAGTTATCGTTCTGAAGTGATTGCTCATATCCCTCCTGCTCAGTGCTGGAAATAATCACGACAAGGTTCAACCCCATAAGCAGGAGCGCGTTTGTATGTGCCGGGGGGGGGGGGGGGGGGGGGGGGGGAAGGGAAGGGAGAGGGCACCAAAGCCAGAGCAGTGCCTGGCTGCCTGTCCTCAAATTCCAGAGCCTACCATCGACTCGCCACTCGCCGGCTAACTTAAGAAACTGTAGGGGCTAAAAGCCCGCAGGCAGCACGAAGGCGGAGGGGGAGAAAGGCAAGATACAGTTTACAGCCCACCGACTGGAAATCACACAAAGAAACGAGGAGCCTTTTTAAGAGCAAGGGCCTGGTTCCCGACGCTTCCACGGCAGGAAACGAGCTCCGGGCCTGCCCCGAGGGGCCTCCCCGGGGGAAGAGGGTGCCGAGGAGCCCACTCCTCCCCACGGGGGACGGGGCAGGGGCTGCCCCGAGGCGTGTGAGGGGTTGGGGGGAGGCGGGAGGGCCGGGCCGGGCACCCCCCAGGGTTCCCCCCCTCCCCGGCCCGCTCCCGAGGGGTCGCACCTGGATAACCTCGTTGACCTCGCGGATGCACTCCACCATGTGCTGCAGGATCTGCTCGGCCGTCAGCACCTCGTAGCGATAATCCTCCTCCTGCTCGGGGCCGCCGCCGCCTCCGGGGCCCGGCCCGCCGCCCAGGCCGCCTCCGCCACCGCCGCCGCCGGGGCCCAGCCCGCCCGTTTCGCTGCCCAACAGCCCGTCGCGCTCCCCGCCGACGCGCAGCCCGGGCTCCACCAGCTCCACCTCGCCCAAGTCCAGGTTATCGTCGGGCTCGTCCTCCTCCTCGTCCTCCTCGTCCTCCTCCGCGCCGCTGTCCTCGCTGCACTCCTCGTCCTCGTCGAACTCGTAGTTGTAGCCCTCGTCCGAGTCCATGGCGAGGCGGTGAAGCGACGGCGGCGGCTCCCGCGGCGCGCGCCCCCCCCCCCCCGCCCCGCCGGCCCCCCCCCCGGCCCCGCCGCGCCTCAGCCGCCGCCAACAAAGGGACGCGGCCGACCCGCTCCGTCACCGCGCGCCGCGCACGCACGGCACGGCAACGTCACGACGCGCCGCGTGACGCGGAGAGACGCGACGCGACGCGCGCCTGCGCGGCGGCCGCCATCTCCGCTCCGCCGCGCCGGGAGCCATCTTGAGTGCGCGCCACACACACACACACACACACACACACACACCCCCCCCACACCAAACACAGGCCACGCCCACACACCCGCTTTCCACACACGCCCCCTTCACCTCCGCCGGCGCCATCTTGAGCGCGGCGCGGCGCCATGCTGAGTGCGGCGGGTGGAGCCAAGGAGGTTTACCGGCTTCCCCACCCGCCCCGCCGTCGACGCGGGGCTGGGGGTGGCGGGGACCTGCGGTGGAGGCTGGGGCGCGGAGCCTTCCTCGGGGTGTCCTGGCAGCCCAGCGCTGCCGTTACGTGAAGAGCGGTGCCGCGCCGGCGGTGGGGAGAAACTTGTGAGGGAAATGTGAGGGAAATGTGAGGGAAATGTGAGGGAAAATAGGGTGTTCTGCCTCAAAAATCAGAATAAAATTGCACTGAGGAGCTCCAGGCAGAAGGTCATGTGAAACCATAGGATAAACGTATGCCTGCTACCCCCAGCAGGGACCCCGGCTGTGCTGGGTGGCATCTCCGTGCTCCAGCTCTGCCTTCTGGTCAGCGGAGATAGTAATACCCGTTTTTTTCACGACGGTGCCAGGCTTGATTCCCTTTGTTCTTTGTTAATTTGGCATTTCGCAGGGGGGGAGGCGGGGGGCAGAATACACGAGTGGCTTTATCACTGGACCACAGACAGATCTTTTTCCCGTCAGCGGACGGCCGGGGCCAAGCCTGGCATCGGTGAGCACTCCTGGCAGAGAGGGGCACGGGGCCAGCACCGTCTCCCTGGTGGCCTCATCCCTGCTGGGGCCTCTCGCCTGGACACCGAGGCGCCGGCGAAGGGCAGGGCAGATGTCGGGGTGCTGCAGGGGTTGAGCACCCTTCGCCTCAGCTTTCCCTGCCGTGGCGGCAGCGTGGCCAGGGCAGATCTGCTGCCAGTATCAGGCGTGCTCAGCTTGGTACGGCGGAGGCGAGCCCGGCTTATTGTTCGCAGCCGTTTGGGGAGTGTGAGGGACTCCGGTTGGCTTGGAAACAAGGCTGCAGCCTGGCCCAGAGGAGAGCCAGCTGCTACCAAACCCTCTGCTGCTGTTCACTGCAGATGCGAGAAGCCGGCCCAGCCCCTGGAGGGCTCCAGGGCAACCTCCTCTGCGCCATGGCACTAATCCTCCACTTCCTTGCACCCCGGGGGAATCGTTTCTTCCCGGGGTGAAGTGGGGCGGTTCTGATGTGGTGATATTATTCACCCACTCCACCCAGATGAAGATGCCCCCACGCCCGGAGGAGACTCAGCCTGGTGGTATGCAGCATAGGTGTGACGAGTTCCGTCAGCTCTCTGCGGCAGGAGTCAACACAGCGCTTTGTGTTCCTGCAGCACACGCCGCAACAGGGTCCTGCTTCCTGCCCATGTTTCAATACCTCGTGAAGCAGCAGAAAATTAGAAACTGCCTCCAAAAGGTTGTTTATTTTCTGCCGGAGCACGGAAAGCATAATGATTGGCGGCAGTGACAGGGGTTTAAACTCAGGGTGATGCAGGCAGGTGCCCTTGGCGACCCAAGCAGATTAAGTGCCCCATGTCCTGGGTAGATGTCTCTAGAAACCTCACCGGGTGCCAGTCCACACCTTCAGACAGACAAGCAGCTCTGAAAATCAGCTCTGGGTGTTCCGCAGCATTACAGCTGGCTTCCAGCAAGCTCACTACTGTTGCGACCGCCCGCTGTCCCCACCGTGCAGCCGGGTTCAGCCTGTGGTCCCCAAGCCCTGCTCGGCCTGGGTCAGGAACAGCGCGGGGGGGTGTGGACCAGGCACGCACGTTGCCTCATGCCAAGCCACCTAGTAAATAAAGCCAGTTTCCTAATTACCCTACTTATTTGGAATGGCAAAGGCCCGGGCATTAATCATCCTGCCCTACATAAATATAAATAGCCCAGGCTTTGTTCAGCTCCTGGACTTACCAGCTGGACACTTGCCAGGCTGGTCCCACCTCACACGTCAAGCCGCGGGGGCTCAGCTGCTCACGCCAGGTCCTCGCCCTACACTTTGTCCCCAAGCGGGACTGCGTGTCACCCTCCGGGGCTCTGTGCTAGCACTGTCCTGCCCAGCTGGTGACACGCCCGGTTCCTCGCCATGAGCCAGCGTGGGGCTGCGCATCTGCCCACCGGACCCCAAGGAGCCTGGAAAGGCGTTGACCTAGACAGCGGGGTTTTGCTTTATCGGAGCTTTGCAGCTTCCCAGAGCTTGTTCTTGCCCGCAGGACCGGCTCCAGCCCTTCGCCGAGCTGACCTTCCCCTCCGGGACGGGGTTATCACTGTGCTTGGGTAAGGAGTTTTTCCCCCTCCGGCTGCCCGGGAGCGCCCGGGTTGGCCGTGGCGGTGCCGGGGGACGGGCAGGGACCGGCCCCCCGCCCCGGCTGCCCCCCGGCATCCCGGCGGCGGGGGCCCCAGCGCCTCCCCGCTGCCCTCTCCTGGCCCCTGCCGAGGCTGCAGAGCTCCCGGATCCTCGGCGCGAAGCCGTGCGAGGGTGAGCCGTTAGACACCGAGCTAAAGCCATCGCCTCGCACAGCCCTCCAGGAGGCCAGAGGAAGAGCCGTGCTTCAGCGGCACCGAGCACAGACATTTAGCAACACATTTAAACCTCCTTGGGCATCCGACCGTTTCCCTTTCTTGTATAATCCCAGTCATAAACACACATAAACAGTGACGGGGTCATCCCCGTGCCATCCCGCAGACATGAGAAGGTGGTTCTCTCCTACAGTCCCAGCCTTATCTATAAGACAGTGATCACTTTGCTGCCATTTACTCCTCAGTTCAAACACTAATACTTCTCAGAAATACTCTTTGTAATGAAATTTCAGCCGTGCCTTTTGCAAAAGATCTTCCTTTCAGTACAAAGTTTCCGACCCAACAGTCACGTACAGAGCCCTGGGCACACCCCGGCTCCTTGGAGATGGTTGGCAAAAGGCACCTGAGAAAGGCAGGGCTGCTGCCTTCAGCTCATCCTGAGGGGATCTGCGCTGTCTCTGGGGATTTTAGGAGTCCAGCTACCGAGAAAACCTGAGAACCGCTCTTCTACCCACTCTGAAAAATGATTTAGAGTTCCACAGGCACCTGACGCTTTTTCATTTTATTCTTGCAAGAGCTTAATTACCCAAGTGATTCTAGTGACTGTTAACACTGAAGCTGACAAGAATAAAATATTGCATTGCAATCACCTTGCTCTGTGAAGTTAAGCACATGCTTACAGGATTTACGGGAGCAGGGCCTCTGTGCACGAGGAGTTTGTCACCGCGCATCCACGGGCTTAGATTGATTCCAGCTCAGCCCCACAGCCGTGATGGAGAGCAGCCAGGGATGGCAGCCACAAATACTCAGCCTCCGCAATAACTCGCAGCATCTCCTGGTGACAAGCCCCGTTTCACTACACCAAAATGCTGCGAAAGTGCTGGTGCCCCACGCCACAACCACCCCTGGGCTCCTGCCCTGGGAGGTTCACTCGCAGATTCGGGGTGAACCTCCCGTATCACCCACCCTCCCTGCTGCTCCACCACTCCTTGAGCCAGGAGGGATCTCTGGAAAAAGCCCTTCTCCACCACCAGAGACACACGGAGCTCCTGCACTGGGCGAAAGGAAATCCAGATTTCCCCGTGCCGAGGGTTTGATTTTGGCTGCCTGTGCACCCATTAACAACCTTGACCGTCAGCGTGGGCTGAGATGCCCCTCGGATCGCTGCCGATTGTTCAGCCACCCCAAAGCTGTGTGATCTGGAGATAATCCAGAGGAAAAGGCTTTTCAAATAATATCAATAGCGCAAATACCACCAGGCTGAGCTTGAGTCAGGAATCCCAATCCTTCAGACTAACGCATCTCACCTCAAGCTTTTTGCCTTAAACTCCGCTTTTAAGTTCGTAATTGTTGAAATATTCTTCTTCACTAAGACCCGCTCCTGCCTGCTCGCTCTGAATCTCCCAGGCCTCGCTCCCCTTACATGTGCTCTCCCATCTGAAGAGGTCCCTTCTGCTCAACTCCATCTGTGCTGAGAAATTCATTTACCGCGTGCATCTGCTAAACCGTTTGATGGCAGCATCTAGCGTGACACACGGTGGTCAAGGTGGAAATGTAGAGATATGAAAATGAGTCATCCTGTGCTTTGAAAAGCACAGGGATACGTGCTTGTGGCTCTGAAAGCAGCCTGACATACACCAGCCTGCTTCAGCTCCTGAAAGCATTGAAGTTCCTTATGGGCTGAGCTGTTAGCTGAAGGATCTGGCTGGTGAAAATACCCTGGACATGGATTTAGGATCATGTCTTGTTTAGGATCTTTGTGCATGTGCTAAAGCTCCAATACTCATCTCTCCTGGCTCCTGCTGGGTGTTTAAATGCAAGAACCTCTCTGTTCGATGAAATGGGTGCTGGTACCTCAGCAGCTCACAGTCTGTGGTGTAGGGGCCCAGGGGGAGACTGCTTTCCCCCCCCCCCCCCATCACTCCCTCGGAGACCGGTATCTCTGGCAGAGTGGGGAGAGGCTGGGAGGCTCACCCATTCTCCAACGACTCACAGTTTGGTTTTGGTAGAAAACCTCAGCTCGGGTCACGGCGCAGCAAAGGCTGGTGGCCTGCCACTGCTGCTTGGTGCGCCCACGGCCACAGCAAACTTCAGGGGAGCCACTGAGGAGAGCGATGTCACCCAAAAGGAGGAAATGTGTCCTTGTCATCTCACCTCCAGCGGAGCATACTCTCTGTCTGCACAGAGCAGCTACGAGCTGGAACAGCAGATAGATCAGCATGAACTCATGCAGATGGCTCGCTCCCTGCCAGCGCCTCTGTGGCACTGCACTGAGCAGTATCATCCCTGGGATACGGAGATATGCAACAGGAGGGTCCACACCTGCAAAGACCCATCACACGCTGACCCTTACTCCTCCCGGACCACCACCACGAGTAAGGTCGCTTCAACAAACGCATGGCTGCAACCCCTGTGATTGCAATCCAAATACCATCATTATTTTACCGAGGGTGAAAGGGAAGTTAAACAAGCAAACAGAGAGTGTAAGTTTGCCCAGAAAGCCTCTGAGATGTCAAAATTCAAGTCAGAGGTCTGCAGGCAGTTGCAGGTGTTTCCAGAAGACGATCTGTGTTTTCCAAAGCCTTCTTCCAGCCACACCACCAGCAAGTCCCTCAACCTGACAGCTGGCTTCATTCCGGGGTGAGTGTGCTTAGACAGTGTTTAGCTTGAAGAGCAAAGCAAACAGAAAACTCATGCTCTCTGAAGGTTTTCATGAATGGCTTCCTCCGTCCCCCTTTCACCGGCTGATACGCTTCTCACCAGTGGAGGAATCTGTATGCAAAACACCCTTCTGATTAAATGCAGAAGCAGCCAACGTTACAGGGAATTAGGCAGCATAATAAATGGGTTTATACCTTAAAAAAATGCTGTGGAACAAGGAACTGCACTGACAGCCCAAAGGGCACCTTCATGCCCCAAAGGTGAACAAACCAGCAAGACCCAAGTGTGACACCAGCCAGATTTTATAACAATTTATGTCAGAACAATTAATTTGGATTTCTACCAAATTCACTGTCGGCAGTAAGCGGGTAATCCAGCAGAGTCCCGGTGCAGCACAGTTTTTTGCAGAGTCCCCCCAGCAACTTGGCTTCCAGCTCTTGCAGTCAAAGAGGTGACAAGAGGGGGTTTGCAGGTACCTCCACAACGGGTCTCACCTGGCTGGGGCAGTGGAATGTTCTCAGCCGCCAGCTTAGCCCCGTGCACCGACACTAAAGTGCCTCTGAGCTGGTACGTCCCTGCTGTGGGGCTGGCGGTCCGGGTTCAGGCGAGAGGAGGTGCGGCACAGGAGGACAGGTAAGCTCTGAACCTTGTGTTTCTGTGTTCACTCCCTGCTTGTTACTCCCTGAACTAGCCTGAAGAGGCCAACCTCCCTAGGTGGACATATCAACCTGGAGATATGCTCTGAGACCACAAGCTGGTCTGTTGAAAAGCATCAGCAACTGCCGACTACTGCTCCATGCCTGATGAAGGACAGCGTGCAAACCAGTTTCTTTTAGCCAAGTTCCAAAGTTAGACACATGTTTAAGCAGTTTTCTTATGTAAAGATGCATTCCCAAATCAGACTGTTAGTCTAGATTAATGCCGGCCAGCTACAGATGAACTTCTCTGAGTCATCCCCCAGAGACATCAGGTCCCTTAAAATAGCAACAACAACAGAATCCATAGAAAGCCTTGAATATTTCAACTGAAAGCTATGATCACAATGCTTTACATAAGTGTGGTGAACACGCCACCCTTCCCAGACTGAAATAAGGATTCACTTCAGGCCAGGGCACCTTCGCATTTCAGTCTCACACGCTGCGAAGTGCAGCCCTGCTGATGCTGCTGACATTGCCTGATGCAACGCAGCAACAAACTGTCTTGGTTTGGGGGATTTTTCTTCCCCTGCAATTTTAATACAGTGAAACTACTTAAAGAAAAGACCAGAAATACTAAAATGAATGTTGTCAGAAAAGCCGTGGCAACAGCTGGCGCTTCGGAGGTTTGCACAGGGAGAGGCAATGAACCCCGCTCACGACTGCGGAGGCTTCACGTAGACCGGCAGCAGCCTTGAGACAAGTAGAGGAAAACTTGAACGCAAAGAACGACAGGGGCCTTTTTCCCAGACGTCCAACACAGGTGGGAATATAGCTGTCCTTCTCCAGGTCCTTTCTTGCTGTGTGATGTGGACAGAGACAGAGAAGGGCTAACGTCCTGGAGCAACGGTGCTGGAGTTGGACGACTCATGAGGAAGCAGCCTGGCATGTGCCATTGTGCTGAATGAGGGTCCTGCCACCTCTCTGCAGGAAAAACAAGGAACAGGTGAGAATTGTCAGGAGCCTGAAGCCACCAACAGTCTTTAATTGCCCTGATGAGCCTCACCTGGGACCTACACCCATGACCCATTGCTCCAGGAGCTCCGTTTAAGCTGAGGTCTGAGTATTTCATTGTCTTTCTGAGTTCTCCTGGAGGTGCCTCTGCTCCTAGGCTTTCTCAGGGTGATCTTGGTGTTATCTTGGTGCCTTGCTTTTGCCAGGTGACACTTAGACTCTTGAGGGGCCCTGCTGCTGTCACCACTGTGCTCTGTTCACTTGGCTGTGGAGCTGTGCCCAGCTGGTGAGGTTGTTGCCCGGCCCACGTTGTGCCTGTCCTTGGTTCCTGACTCATTCTCCCTCAGGTGGATGGGTGGCCTTTGCTGTTCTACAAGGTTGCAGGAGTAGGATATAGAGTTGTGTAGGTGTTAAGCTCATGGCAACACCATTTGGCTCTCTTTGTTCCCATTTCTGATGGAGTCTAGCTCTCTTACGTACAAGTGACCCTTAGTCCCCTCCCTGACTTCCCCCACTTAAGATCCCCTATCAGTTTTCACTAATCTCATGAAATTCCCACAATCCCATGTAGACCCAAACCTAACTGTGATCCTTTTCTGCTGCCTAGCATACCCACAACCTCTCCACCTCCATGACACGTGCAAAACCTTCATTGGTACCTCCCAGGCTCCCTCAACCCCAGTGAGCCCCTCACTCCATCCCTCTCCGTTCCCACTGAAGTTCCTCCATGTCTTCTCAGTTCTTCCTTCACCACCAGCCCCCAGCTTTGTGCGGGTGCTTTTGTAACCTTTGACAGCAAGTTCCTTAAGGGGTTTTCCTGCATTTTTTTTTTTCCTGTTGATCGTGGTTCTCTCTATGCTGCTCGTATCAGGGATAACCCCTTAAATTCCCCACCAGACCCTTCGATGGTTGTATTGTGCTCACGCAGTAGTTTTTCATCTTGTGCTAGTGCGATGGGTCCATCTCCCTTTTCATGTTTTTTTCCCATGGCATTTATTTAATTTTCTGCTTGCTCCCCATGCCTGTGGCTTGTCTTCCAACACTCCTGCTAGTTAGGTGTTTTCTGGTGGCTTCACTGCTTGCTCAGGAGGTCTGGGACAGCAGTTTTTTAAGAATTTGATGGAATTGATTCCTATATAGGAGCTGGTAGCATTGTGCTGGCAAATAGATGGGTAAGGCCTGGGCTTAAGGGTCCTTGTTTGACTTGGGGATTGCGGAGGATTGCGGAGCTGGAAGGGAGGAGGCAAAATAAAGAGTTCATCTGAGGTTGGCAGTTTCCTTGCAAAAGCCAAACCCTGTGCGAAAAACATCTCTGCAACACTTCACTGTGAGGCTCCACCATGGGATAAAGCCCCTATTTCTTTTTGCATGACCCAACCAGTATTTCACCCACCACCGATAGAATATCCCTGGAAACCCGTGTGAGGGCTGATTTACATCCAGCATTCCTCATAAAAATGCGCGGTACCAACAAAAGATGCCAAACCCCAAGGTGCATCCAAAGCATGTGCGCGCTCAGCCACACAGCTGGGAAGTGGTGCTGGGGAAATACGCGTTTCGAATCGCCGATTTTCTCCTCAGGCCCCAAATCAGGCCGCTGAGGCTCCCCAAGGGCATCCTCGGGGGGCAGGGAGCGCGGCGCAGGGTCTTTAAATTCTGAAGGCGGGGTGAGAAGCGACCCTCGGCGGGGAGCCTGAGGGTTTTGTGGCTTTATTCCAAAGAGGTGCGGGCTGTGGGGACGGCGGTGGGGGCGGCCGCCGGCTGAGGGGGGCAGTGAGGGCGGGAGGCGGGCCGGGCCCCGCGGGGCCGAGCTGCCATTTCGCGGGCGTCCCTCCCGCGGCCGGCGGCGCCGCCCCCTCCCTGCGGCTGCGGGGCGCGACATGGCGGCGGGGCGGGCGCCGCTGCTGCTGGTGGCGGCGGCGGCGGTGGCCGCGGTGCTGGAGCCGGCGGCCGCCGTGTGGCCGCAGCCCCAGGCCGAGCGCTCCCCGCCGGGCGGCGGCCGCTGCCCGCTGCCTCCCCGCCGCTTCCGTTTCGCCTACGCCGCCGGCTCCGCCGTGGGGCCGGGCTGCGCCGTGCTGGAGGCGGCCTTCCAGCGGTACTGGGCGCTGCTCTTCGCCGCCGCCCGCCCGACCGGTGAGGCGGGGCGGGGGCTGCCGGCGGGGCGGGGGGCTCCGCGGCCTCCCCCACGAGGGGGCCGCTGGAAGGGCGCCTGGCCCTTTCGTATGTGGATTTATCCTTAAAACCCCCACAAAACCAAACCTTCGTTTATTTGGTGGGGGGGGGGTGTCAAACCACGGGGTTTGTGTGGCTGCATCTCCTCAGGGCAGCAGGGCCTGGCGGCGAGGGGAGATGGTGGCAGTGGTCTGATGGCGCGGTGGCTTGAGTCGAGTCTCGTAGCGAAGGGCAGCGTGGCGCGGTCGTATGTGGAGGGCAGTGCCTGCGGCACGCACGTTTTAAAATAAAACCTAATCTTGTTTGGCACAGTGAGCATTAATTGTCTTGCGTTTCTTTAAAGGAGTTTGCCTCTTGCTATCAAGAGTTTGCTCTTTCTTTATCTCCTCCAGATCTCGTTTCAGCTCCCCGGCACTACCTTTTGCTTCCTTTTCTTGTGACTGCAGGGAGAGCTGCTGTCAGTGTTGCAATCGCTCCAGCTTCTGTGCTTTTCCCAAGTCTTGGCTCTTCCTGTTTCTAGCAGCTCTTGGTGTGCAGTGCGAAGCTTTACCTTGAAGAAAGACTCTTGTTGCTTCATGTGTGCTTCTTATTCGTGCCATGGGGCACTCTGCCAAAGTTGAGCTGTTCAGTGTCCTGAGGCAGCGTGGCTTTTCTGGCAGAGAGGTAGTAGCTCTTGGATTCGTCCTGAAATTCTAGGGTAAGGCGAGGAAAGGCAACAGCTTTGAAAGCCTGGGGTTGATTTGGGGTAGGTTGTAAAGGTTTCTTGCCCCCAGACTTCTTCGTGATAGCACCCGTTGCATGTCTGGGATGAAATGCAGGAAATTCCCTGGCTGCGTTTGCAGAGGCAAACGCAGGCTGGGGAGCCGGCACGCACGGATGCTCAGTCTCTGCGTGGGTCTGCGGCAGCCTGAAGCACTATATCTGGGGAATATGAAATGCTTCATTCATCAGAAAGAGCTAGTAACTCTGCCTCCGAGTGTTTTAAATGTCAGCGTGAACTCTGTCGCCGCTGATCAAAGCAGAAGCCGCTCTGCTTCATCTCGAGCGCGTCGTGCTTTGACAAAGGCAAGTTTGAAACACTGAGAAGAACCATTTGGCTTATTTTATTTCTTCAACTCTTGTAAGTAGCAATAGAAATAAATCTTGATTTGGGAGCTGAAGAATACTCCTCTTACTTCATTTTTTGCTGCTAGGAACTAAAAAAACCTGATACAGTTATTCACATTTTCCTGTTCGGAGGGGAAGTATGACCATCTCATCACTTGGAGCAACTTCACGTGATCACGAGATCGAGCTCATACTCATTGCTTTCCATATGCCCTGCTTTATGATGCTCAAACTATGCGATTAAGGCTTTTTTTTTTCCGTTTTTGCCTTCCTTTTTTCTTTTTTTCTCGGGAGTGGTTAGTAAGAACAGGCGATGGAAACCCTGAATGGAAGGAAGTAGTTTCTCTTAATAGAGGAAACAAATGGCAGAAACCATTTTCTGTCTGTTTCAGAAAGCTGCTCTGTCAATTTAATGAGCATGCAAGATCATGTCCAAACTCTGCATTCATCCTGGACTGCAAGTGTACAAACAGAGACTAATTTAAATTAGGAGGGACATATGGGAGTCTTTGGTCAAGCCCCTGCTCAAAATAGGGTCAAACCTGGAGTTGGAGCCAACTTTGTGCTTGAGTCAAGCTGCTCAGGGCTGTGTGCAGCTGAAATTGTGGTATTTCCAAGGATGGTGAACTGAGCCCTCGCTGAAGTGTTTGATCACCTTCAAGGTGAAGAATTTTTTTTTTTTTCCCTTATCTTTAATTTGGATTTCCTTTGCTGCTCTTCCCTGTCTCTTGTCCTTAAGCCGGGCAGCTCCGAAACGAGTCGGAGAGACCCAGGACCCTGTGTGGAACTCAAGCCAGGACCCTTCATCCCTGATGTCTTCCTGCTGGTAACCTGCCACAATCATTGTGTTGGCGTCCTTGTCTTCCAGTCCCTGACTGTAATTACCTTGATGTGTGCCTTCACAGCGCTCTTTCGAACCATGAACTTCAGCCTTTGCGGTTGATGGATCACTGATCCCTGCTGCACCCATCTGCAGTGCCCTCTGGGTGTGATAGCGGCGGTGCCTGCCCGCTCCTCGGCCAAGGAGGCTGTGGTTGGGTTTGGCAGTGTCTCCCTGCACGGGCTTAAACACGGTGCGTGGTGGTGGGACCAATTCTGTCACGGCTTCTCAACAGAATGAGTGTTTTCTGCGTCCCCAGGCTTGAGAGTGGCTGTTGTCTTGCCGAGCAAAGGGAGCAGGTCTTGCTGTGCTGGCGTGCCAGCTCGCACATCTGCGAGGTTGCCTTGGCTACCGGCTCGTCTGTACCCGAGAGGAAAGCTCAAAACAGAGGGCTATCTTCAAGCCGTTTCCCTTCTTTCCACGGAGGTTTTGCCATTCCTTCATGGAGAAAATTTGGGGGTTCTGGCTCCTGCAAGCTTTGGAGCATGGGCTCTCTGCGTTTCACCCAAGCACTGCTGGTGCCACAGTCTCTCTGAAGTCTGCTTGACGCCTGGCTTCTGAGCAGGTTCACTCAAAGCCAAGCTTTTTAATTTTTAGTGGTCATAGCAGTTCTGGGAATGCTGTGGGGGTGTAGGCATGGACCTCGGCTGTGATTAGCAAGGTCCCACCCCACTAACCCTCGTTCCTCCTGGCCAGAGACTGCTGTGAGTAGACCCGTGCATCTCACCAAAGGCTGGACGCCTCCCTTTGGAGTTGGGGGAGTGACTCCAGTGAGGACTCAGACCTGTGCATCCCTGGAAGTGCTCCTTCAGATAAGGAAGCGTGGCCAGAGCTCCTGCTTGGCGTCTGAATGTGACTGGGTTTATTTTTCCAGCCGCTGCGTCTGGGACCTGCTCTGCAGAAGGCGAAGTAGGTCGGGAGCCTTTCTGTGCTGGGTGAGACCTTCTGGTGGCCTCTAACTCAGCCCAACTCTGCAGTGTGCTTGGATTCATTCTCTACCCTTTTTTTTACAGGGTTTTTTTGTACTTTCTAAGAAGCGTAGGTAGGGTAGCAGAGCTTTTGGGTTTGTGCTTCTTCCCCAGTGCTGGGAGAGTTTGGAAACATGAAGCTCTTCACCACCCTGGAGAAGATTTGAGTAGGCGTGGATATTGCTTGGAGCAGGGGCTGGTGTCCAGGAAGCCTGGGGGACTGCTGCCTAGACCATGCTCTGATGTCTCTCCTCTTTTGTGTGCTCCTTTAAGCTTCCACTGCAAAGCCTTCCCTGGGGGCTTCCTCACCAGCAGACCTTCTCCATGCTGAAGGTTGGGATCAGCTCATGTGCTCCTGGTTGAAAGAAGCCCCTGCTGAACACCCCTGTGCCTGCTCTGGGGTGAAGGAGAGGGTGCCCATTTCTGCCACATATGTTAAAAGTCTGAGTACTCCTGCACCTTCACTGCTAGCTGGGCTGGGGGGAGGGTGGAGACGGGGAAAAGAGCCAGGATGGGGTTGATGTCCATGATCTGTGTCCCTTGCAGAGAACGAGCAACCCTGGGGCACACCCTGCACTCAACTCCTCGTCTTTGTTGCCACGCCGGGCTGCGATGGGTTTCCCAGCCTGGACTCCAAGGAGAGCTGTGAGTATCAGGGTTGGGAGTGGGAGGGAGTGACTGGAGCGGGAGTGTGGCTGTTTCTGTGCCCGTCGGTTGGAAATAGCACCGTGCAGCACTCACCCCCAATTTTAGGGAGGCAGCAAGCCTCGTTCTATTATTGAGAAACAGACAGGGAGGGAATGACTTCCCTGAGGAGGCTGATAAAGCGGTGGGAGAGGTTTAAAACAAAAAAAGCCCCAAAACAGTTCTCTGGGATCCCGGGGTGCAGTTCTGTATCAGAACTTCTGCCCGGTGCTGCTGCAGCCCTGTAGCTGAGGCTGTCATGGTTTGTAGCAGCGTGTGATGGAGTGTGGGACCTCATGCCAGCGCCGACCCCTCTGATGCTGTGTTTCAGATAAGCTCTCTGTTTTGGAAGGCTCCTTGCTGCTCTCTGCGGATGCCGTCTGGGGAGCTCTCAGAGGTGAGGTGTGCTTTCGGTGAGGCATTCCCGCTCTCCCTGCCTTAGGCCTGTGGGGATGTCTCTCTGTGCCTTTCTCTTTCCGTAGACTTATTTGTTAATTGAGCTCTGTTCCTTTGGGGGAATCTGTGCTGAGAAAGGGACTCTGTGTGGTTTTCCTGCAGGCCTGGAAACATTCAGCCAGCTCGTTGGGAGAGACGAGAATGGCACGGTGAGTCCTGGCCTAATCTCCTGGGGGGGCAGTCAGCTCTCCATAATGCTCCTCCCTCCACTGGGATGTGCTGAGGTTTGCTGGGATGCTGGGGGTGAGGGGGTTTCCAGCAGTGCACCACAGCCTCGCCAAGGGCCAAGTAGAGATTCATGAATCCAGCCAGATCCCTGCCCTGAGCGGGTAAAGCATTGCAGCTCTTTCTGGCTAGCTTGCACTCTGGGTAGTGGGGGTACCCCTTCACATCCCACCAACCCTGTGGACAAGGGTGACCCTGATTGTCTCCTGCTAATGGCTGTGTTGCCTGAAGCTGTGCTCACTTCTTCCTCGTGTTCTCTGCATGCAGTACTACATCAACAAGACAGAAATTGTAGACTTTCCCCGCTTCCCTCACCGGGGACTGTTGCTGGACACCTCTCGTCACTACCTGCCTCTGAGAGCCATCCTGGAAACTCTGGTAGGATGCCTGTGCTGGGAGACGAAGTGGTTTAGTTGGGTATCCCTTCCTCTGTGACAGCTGAGGGCTCCCTGAGTAGCCTGGAGGGCTCTTTGGGTTTTTGCTCCTTTCCAAAGATCCTAGGAGCAGTCTAATGTGTCGGCCACTGCATCTACATCTCATCGAGGAAGAGCTTGTCAAACCCAGGGTTTTTGAACAAAGCTGGCTTGCTTGTCCCTGGATGAAGCAGCAGGCTGGGGTGGGATGACAGCCTGACCTCAATTCTTAATCTGTGCTTAAGATGTGCATCATGGGAAAATGCTTCCGTGCTGGAGGTCCTTCCCAGTGCCCCTGGCTGTGTTTGCTCCTGTGTAACTCACAGCTGCCTCTTTTGGGGTGATTTCTCAGCTTTCTTTGTAAACACGATAAAGGAAGAAAACCCTTAGGTATCTTGGATTCCTGCGATCCAGATTATTCCCCGAGGCTGGGTTGTTTCTGAGGCAAGGGGAGACACTGACTTCTTCCCAGCTCCATTAGGCAAAGGTGGTTCTGTGTTCATCCCAAGCAGAATTAAACTTCCAGGTCTCCACCGTTGGCTCAGTTATAGCGGGAACAGGGATTTTATTGTGAGCAGAAGTACTGCTGGCCCTCTGCAGCTCTTTGTGGTGCTGGTGTGTTTGAAGAGAGGTGTCTGAATCCACCTGGGATACTGGGGAGCGTTTAGGGGACGCTGCCTTGTCCTCCTTTTGGAGCCCAGAGACTTTGTCCCCTTTCTGTGGCAAGCTGGGTGACCTTTCAGAGGGGTTAGGGAGGGCGTGTTCATCTTTATTCCTGTTCCTTCCCAGGATGTCATGGCTTACAACAAGTTCAATGTGTTTCACTGGCACATTGTGGATGACCCGTCTTTCCCCTACGAGAGCTTCACCTTCCCAGAGCTCAGCAAGCAGGTAACCCAGCCCCATCGCTGTGTAGCGCTGAGCCCAGGGCGAGCAGATCCCTCCCTCGGCACTTGAGCAAAGCGCTGAGGTTGCCCGGTTTCCCCCAGGGAGCCTTCAATGCCATGACCCACGTGTACACGGCCAGTGACGTGCAGACGGTGATCGAGTACGCCCGGCTGCGTGGCATCAGAGTCGTCGCAGAGTTCGACACCCCTGGGCACACCCTTTCCTGGGGTCCAGGTGAGGAGCAGACCCTGTATGCTGCTGCTGCTGTGAGAAGAGTTGTAGTTGTACTGGCGGGAGGAAGGGGATCTGCAGCCTGGATCTCAAAAGCTGGGTTTGTGCAGCTGTGTTCCACGGGCTTGCCTTGAGAAGGAGCAAACCATCATCTGGGGGAAGTAGGACCCAACGGTCCAACTTTTGGAACAAAATCCAAAAGGAAAACATTTCCGTCTCGTCTTGGTTCCAAGCTGGGTGACTTTTTGGGGGGAACACCTGCTCTCCCAAAACCAACATCGTGGGTATTGCGAGGATTTTGGGTTTAACTGGGGGTACAGCTGACCAAGCTGCTTTGCGCTGCTCAACCGTGCCCCGGTCCTGACACACTGCTCCCTGCTCTGAGGACTGCAAGTGCCTCTTTTTTCATGTCTGGAAGCGCAAGAAGCTCCAGGAAAACACTGCCTTGTCTTTCTCTCTCCTTCGCCTGCCTCCAAATGCTCTGGTCTGTAGTGGAGTACACCCTGGGCATGTTGTCACAGCCAAAACTGGGGCTGCCCCTCCTTCCGTGTCTTCGGTGGGTACATGGGGATGGGAGAGGGTGCTGGGGGCTGCTCTGGCGTTACCTTTCTTCTAACAGCTCTCTGCATGATTTCCTGTAGGAATGTCCCAAAAAAGCAGTGGGGAGAGATACCAAGGGTGGAAACTGTAGCATCCTGCAAGGATTTGGTGTGTTTGTATCCCCTCCTCAGAGCAGCTGTTTGCGGGGGGAGGGGGGGGAAAGGGGTGTCCAGCCTAAAAGGCTTGAGCTCTGATCTCACCTGAGAGCACGTTTGGGGCAGCAGTGGATGCGCCTGGGGGAAGCACAGCACAAGATGAGCGTGGAATGCCGATCCCTCCCTATCAGATCAGGCTTCCTGAGCCAGAGATCAAATTTCTGCTGCTGTGATTGTGCCTGGTGTGCAGTGGCTCCGTCTTCTGTCTTTGTGGCAGGCACTGAGGAGGGTCTGGGGGGTTTTATGGGGCCGTATGACCACGTTCATCCCCTTCCTCCCTGTTCTGTGTTACGACCCAGGTGCTCCAGGCCTCCTGACTCCCTGCTATTTGGGCAAGGATCCTTCTGGGACGTATGGGCCCATCAACCCCATTCTTAACAGCACCTACCAGTTTGTGACCAGTTTGTTTCAAGAGGTCAGCACCGTGTTCCCAGACTTCTATCTTCACCTCGGTGGCGATGAGGTGGACTTCACGTGCTGGTGAGTCTGAGATCATCGGTCTGGGTGGCAACTAGGGGAAAATATCTGGGACTGGAGTCCCAGCCCATTGCTTTTTGGTCATGCTCTCATCTGCAGATCTTTGGTGTCCTGCTCCCCCAGGCTCTGTGTGCTGCCTGAGGTTTCTGTGCTCATGGTGATGCTGGTTGCGGGAAGCCACCGGTGCCGGCGCAGGCACAGCTTTTGGAAAGCCAGGGCTAGCCCTGGACCAATGTGGGAAGGACTTGGCCGTGTCTTGGCCTTGGTCCAGAGCTCAGGTTGAGGTGGTTTTATTCTCTTCTCTTTGGTACACAGGAAATCCAATCCAAAAATTCGTGCCTTCATGAAGGAGATGGGCTTTGGTGAAGATTACAAAAAACTAGAGTCGCTCTACATCCAGAGGTAAGGACGGTTGCATCGTGGGCCTGCAGCTGCAGTATGTGACCAGCACAAATGTCTTCTGCTGTCTTGGGGACACCAGGTCTCCTCTTCAGGAGCACACCCATTTGGGCATGTCTCCCTGACCCCAAAGGGAGTAGCCTAGCCATGTTTTATTGAGAGATTGACCACAAAAAAGCCTGAGGCTGAGGAAGAAGAAGCCCTGTGAGGGGTTGTGCTTTTTTTCCTTCTCCTTCAGAAACACCTACCTTCACGTCCTGCTGTGGGCGTTGAGAATATTAGTGTTGCTGCTTTGACTGTATGCAGCCAGCAGAGAGAGGGGAGTGTAGTTGGGATGACCCAAAACTCAGTCCTCTTTCTGCTCCAGGCTCCTGAACATCATCTCTTCCCTCGGCAAAGGTTATATCGTGTGGCAGGAGGTGTTTGACAACGGAGTGAAGGTGAGAGCTGCCTGCTTCCCCTAACACCGTTGGCAGTGTTGGGGTGAACAGTGCCAGCACCCCAGCCAGACACTGGTGTGCTCTGGGGGTGCTGTGCTGGGCCTGGCAAGGGCTGGGACCGGGGTTGATCTTGAGATGGTGCTGCCAGTGAGCTGCCCTCACCGTGGCTTTGTCGCACTGCTGTCTGCAGCCTCTTCCCTCCAGGTTCTTGTATATACACCTGCAAGAGGCAGGTTTTAACCCTGCCCAAGGCACTCTGCGAACGGGCTTTTCCCTCCCTCTCTTGCTTCTGCAAACCAGATGGGAAGCGACTCAAAAATCAAGCCATAGTCTGCCTCAGTTTCCCTGTTGGGGAGCTCAAAGCTGTGGATGGGTCAGGGCACTCTGCTTGCAGGGGGAGGTGGTGCTCTTGTTGCCCCACGGATCCTGTTCATGGGTGCTCCTCAGGTGAGGCCAGACACCGTCATCCATGTGTGGAAGGAGAACACGCCCTACATGGAGGAGATGGCGAATGTCACCAAGGCTGGCTACAGGGCTCTGCTCTCTGCCCCCTGGTACCTCAACCGCATCTCCTACGGGCAGGACTGGATGGCAGCCTACCAGGTGGAGCCCTTGAAGTTCGAAGGTGTGTTCCTTGTGTCCCCTTCCCCTGTGGCAGCTGACTTGCCCCTTGGAGGTGGCGCCAGCGCTGCCTGTCTCACTTATCTGTCCTTGCTGCTGGTGTGAGGGTGCCCGAGTGGCCGTGTCCTTGATTCCTGTGCTGTGTCCCGTCCCCTTGCTGCTGGCAGAAAACAACTCTGCTCTCCCCCAGCCCGGGGGATTGCAGCGGGGGCTTCCAAAAGGGCAAGTTAGGGCCTCCGTAGCTGAGCCACTCACTGCTGTTACAGGCGTCTCGTGGGCAGGGCAGTCCGTCACCCCGTTACCTTCCAACACCCCGTCACCTGAATGCTGTGTCCTCTGGCAGGCAGCCCCGAGGAGAAGGATCGGGTGATCGGCGGAGAGGCGTGCATGTGGGGGGAATACGTGGACGTCACTAACCTGGCCCCCAGGCTCTGGTAAGAGAAACAGCGTGGGGGGGGGTTAGCTCGAGTCGCGTGGGGCAGAGCTCGGGCCCCTTTCCTTCGCCGCTGAGCGGCGTGTGCCACACGCTGCGGGGTTGGTCTGCGTGTGGTGCTTGTCCCTGTCCCCTTCATGCTGCTAGCGGCATCACTGAGACTTAAATGAGGGTTTGGAAGACTGTAACAGGCTCCTGTACAACCTGCCGCTGCAGCCGGGTCGTGTTTAATGCTGGTCTCTGTCCTGTCACCCCTGTCCACTCCTGATCCGCACGTGTCTAGGAGTGGAGCTGATGCACAGAAGCCACGTGCCTTTGCGTGCTTGGTCAGGAAAGCTCAGGGCTTTGTGCAGGCAGCTTTCCCGACTCCCCCCGGGACCTGACCACCTCTGTCCCTCGTTCCTCAAGGCCGAGAGCTGGGGCCGTCGCCGAGAGGCTGTGGAGTAACGCGACGGTCAGGGACCTGCAAGATGCCTACGTGCGGCTGGCCGACTTCCGCTGCAAGCTCCTCGGGTAACCATCCCTCCTCGCAGCCAGGTGCCGGCCCGTGGGGACAACCCAAAGGCCACCCTCGGCAGGCTTCGACCCTGGGGAGGGCAGTGAGGGTGAAGTGGGTTTTCCCCGGTGCAGAATGACCCTTGTTCTTAGTGAAAATCCCAAGCCTTTCTGCTGCCTGTGCGTGGGCAGAGCTTGCTTTGTGCGGTGCTGGAAGCGAGCCCCCGCTGCCGGCGTGGGCTGGTGGCTCTGTGGAGGGGAGGACTTTGTGCTGAGGAAGGGGGACCCGGCAGCTATTCCCACCCCTCCTCCTGCAGCACCACCTTCCCCAGGAAGACTCCCCTTGCTACCACATGTGAGCAAAAAAACGAGGATGCAAACCTCTCCCTCCTTGTCCCGCCTGAAAGGGGGGCACCGACGGCCGCCCTGCACTCCTCTGAGCGCCCGGCCGTGACCATGGGCTCTGCCTCTGCTCCCCCCCTCACGCCGCCTCTCTGCTCTCTTTCCAGGCGTGGTGTCCAGGCGCAGCCTCTCTATGTAGGATACTGCGAAAATGAATTCGGCGGGTTTTGAAGGGAGAGTCCTGCTGCCCTCGGTCGCTGTGCACACAGGAGCAACGAGCCTTCTCTCTCTCAAAAGCTGCCGGGGCTTGGCAGAGGGACCCTTCCCACCCCCAGCTTCTACTTTTGCTTCATTGCAAAGAACTTTTTTTTTTTTTTCCTTAGTGTGCACTCTTCGCCTCTTTTTCTATTTTTATTTCTTTAAATCTATAAATAAATGACCCCAAAGAGGAAAAAGGTGCCTTTTCGTGCTCAGCTGGGGCTTGGGAGACCGTGCAAGGGTTGTTGTTGGTAGGAGCTGGGTAGGGCTTGCTCCAGCGGTGCCGCAGGAGCGGCATCGTCCCGGTGGCTGCGGCGCTTGCTGGGGGCCTGCTCGGCCGGGTAAACTGCGTTTGGCCTCTGCTGCTATCCTGGACTCCGTCCCTGCAGAGAGGAGGTGATGAGAAGGTGTGGGTTCCCCTGTTTTGTTTTTTTTTTTTCACCTTGACCTCCCACCGCCTGCGCCTGGACAGGGCGCTGCCTGTGCCAGCACAGGGGACACCCCCACCTCGGGTTTTGCTTCTGCGTCCCTTCCACGTACCAGCGGCTGACATTGGGCTGTTGGTTCCTGTCCTTGTCTGTCTCCTCTCTCCGCCTAGGGCCAGGCAGGAGCTTTGCCTGCGTGCCACCCTGCCTGCTGCCACCTCCTCCTCCGGCTTCTCCTGAGAAGACGATGCCCTGACGCCGTCTCCTCGCAGGGATGTTACCGTGTTGCTGCCCAGCTCTTCGGTGAGCTGTCGCCTCTGCTCAGGGTTTGGCCAATCCGTCCCCCCTCCTCTTCCTCCTCCGTTCTCAGGCCGGGGAGCCCAGCTCCAGGGCTCCTCCACCCAGCGGGCTTGGGCTCAGGTAGTATTTTTCTTGCCAAAGAGGCTGGTGGTGCTGCTGTCCCGTGGAGCCGGGACAACCGTGATTCTTGTCCCTCGATGGCTGGGGTTGCCGTGCTGGAAGCCGTGTTTGGCTTGAAGCTGCTTCCCAAAGATTCCCAATCTCTGGGGAGAAGTCCCGGCTGATGGGGCTGTGGTACATGTGTCTTGGTCTTAAATGAGTGAGGTCTGCTGTTACAGCTGGCAACATTTTACTATAGAACTTTAAAATATATTCAGAAATTGTCAAGTCTTGCATTTCTTTACCCTCCTGTGAAGGGATACCCAGGCAGTGCTGCTCTGGAGTGATACTTCTTAGGGTGGGGGGGGAAAAAAGATTGTGAAGCCTAACGACCCCGAAGCAGGGAAATTGAGCCAGATCTGGGGAAAGAAGGATCATTCTTTTCCTGTTACTCGGGGTGGAGGGGAAGGGCTGCTGGGATGCCGCGGTTTGCCGCTCGGGTGCAGCGCTTTGGGCTCTGGGGGTGGCAGGCGCAGAGGAAGGGGGTTATCATCCCCTCCTATTTTTAAAAGTTGGGGTTTCCCCCCCCCTTCCCCCTTTTTTTTTTTTTTTTTTTTTTATTTCTTTCCCCAAGGTGGTGTACGTTGGTACCTCGTGTTGCTGCAGGCAGCTGCTGCCACCAGGACTGGGGCCGTGGGTGCTCAGCTCTCAAGGAGGGTGCTCTGTCCCCAGGGAGGGACCCCCCCCCAAACCCCGCTAAATCCTGGGGTTAACCCCCACCCCACATTCCCACTTCCCACAGGGGTCTCGCACCAGCAGCTCCCCAAAACCACCGTCCCCGGGGGCGGCTTGGCAGCGCTTTCACCCCTGCGAGTGCCGGGATCCCCGCCGGCGGGGAGGGAGCACCCCGCTTTCCCCCGCCGCGGCCTCGCCCCGCCGCCCGTTCCTTCCAGAACATCTATTTTGGGCGCGTAAAACTTGCCGGGGAGCAGAGGAGAGCAGGCAGTGTGTGAATCACTCGGGGCCAACGGGTTTAAAAATAAACCCAGGCGGCGGCGGAGAGCTGCCGCCGCGCTGCCAGATTTCGGCAGGATTGCGCTCCGCGCCGCCGCCGAAACCCACCCGTGGGTGCCCACCCGGGGCGCCAGCCCCACCCGGGGTGGGGGGGTGTGCGTGTGGTGTGGAGTGCGTTGCTGGGCCACGCTCGCATGTGTTTGCACGCGCTTGCAGGCGCACACTGGCAGCTGTGTGCACGTGCTCGCACGCGCGTGCACGCTTGCAAGTGTGTACCCGTGCGAAGGTGCGCGCGCGCGCACCCACGGACGTGGGGGCGTGTTCGTGCATAGGGGTGCTCACAAACACGCGCCTGCGTGTGCCCGCCTGCGCACAGTTGTGCGCTTGCGCTCGCACGCACGTGCCAGTGCACGCACGCGCTTGTGCACCGTTGCACAGGCTTGCGATGCGGGCACGGAGCTGCCTGTGCACGCCCCCGCGCGCGCTCCCGCAGCCCCACGCTTGCAGGAACACGCGCCTGCTGGCGTGGACTTGCACATGCTTGCCACGCACGCTCCTGCCCCTGCTCATGCACACTGGCACGTGCCTGCACACGCGTGGGGAAGCCGGGCACCCCCAGCCCTGTTAATTAACGACGGCGCTGGGTGCTAACGCCGCCCGGGCTAATTACAGATGTTTGGGGGTGGCCCCACCCCCGTCTGGGGCAGCCCCAGGGGGGCAAGCGGTGCGTGGTGGGGCCCATCGAGGCGAAAACTGCAGCCAAGTGACAAAATTGTCCGTTTTGAGCCTTTTCGATGTGTTTAAATCCCGCTCGAAGGTGGTGGCTGATGGGGAGGGTCAGGAGCGGGGCGTTAACTCTGGGACCTACTGAGGGCGGGGACAGGGGTGAAGTGAGGCGGCTGCTCGGCGCCTTGGCCAGCCGCGCCTCGGGGTGCTGGGGTGTGACGCGGGGGTGTGACGTGGAGTGACGTGGGGCGGGTGACGAGAGGCGGAGGACGGCGGGGTGCGGGGTCGGGCCGGCAGGGGGCAGTAGTGGGCGGAGCGCGGGGCAGCCCCGCGCCGCTGCCCAGCCTCGCCTCCTGATTGGTCGCCGCGCTCTCATTATGCTAATACCTTTGCGTCTCGGCGGGGCCGGCAGGCTGACGTCACCAGCCCGCTGGCGGCCGCGCGCGCGGGTGGGGAAGGGGAGGGGGGAGGGTTGGGGGGGGGGGGTGGGGGGGGTGGGGGGAGCGCCGGGAGCGGAGAGGCCCGAGCGGAGCCGAGCGGAGCCGAGCGGGGCCGAGCGGGGCGGGGCGGGGCGGGGCGGGGCGGCGGGCGCCTCCCGCAGCGGCGGCGGCGGCGGCGGCGGCGGAGCGGGGCCATGGCCGCGGCGGGCAGCGGCGTGGCGGCGGCGGCGGCGGCGGCGGCGGCGGCGGCGGCGGCGGCGGCGGAGGCGGGGGCGGCGTTCAGCACCGCGAACAGCGGCCGGGTGAACGGGCTGAGCCGCCCGCCCGGCGCCATCGCCATGAAGGATCACGACGCCATCAAGCTCTTCGTGGGGCAGATCCCGCGTAACCTGGAGGAGAGCGACCTCAAGCCGCTCTTCGAGGAGTTCGGCCGCATCTACGAGCTCACCGTCCTCAAGGATCGCTTCACCGGCATGCACAAAGGTACGGGGGGCCCCCCGCGACCGACGGCGGGGCGCGACGGGGCGCGGCGTCCCGGGGTGGGACACCCCGGGGTGGGGGGTGCGCCTCAGGTGGAACACCCTGAGGTGGGGCACCCTTGGGGTGAGGAGCCCCTGAGGTGGGGCACCCAAGGATGGGGCACCCCTGGGGTGAAGGCACCCCTGAGGTGAGGAATCCCTGAGGTGGGACAGCCTGACATGGAGCACCCTGAGGTAGGGGCACCCCTCAGGTGGGACACCCTGAGATGAGGCGCCCATAAGCTGGCAGCAGCCCTGAGGTGGGGCACCCTGGTATGGGGCACCCCTGAGGTGAGGAACCCTTGAGGTGGGACACCCTGAGGTGAGGCACCCAAGTATGGGAGACCCTTGAGGAGAGGTACCCCTGAGGTGGGACACCCAAGCATGGGGCACCCCTGAGGTGAGGAACCCCTGAGGTAAAGGCACCCCTGAGGTGAGGAACCCTTGAGGTGGGACACCCTGAGGTGAGGCACCCAAGTATGGGACGCCCCTGAGGTGAAGGCACCCCTGAGTTGGGACACCCTGACTTGCAAGCACCCTGAGGTAGGGTCACCCCTCAAGTGGGACGCCCTGAGAGGAGACACCCATGAGCTGGAAGTACCCCTGAGGTGGGCACCCTGCTATGGGGCACCAGTGAGGTGGGGGTACCTCTGAGATGGAGGTACCCCTGAGGTGGGGCACCCAGATATAGGGCACCTCTGGGTTGAGATAGCGCTGAGGTGGAGGTACTCTTGATCTGGAGGTACCCATAAGGTGGGGTACCCCATCCTCCACTGAGATGGAGATACCCCCTGAGGTGAAGGCAGCCCCAAGTTGGATCCACCCTTGAGGAGGAGCACCCTGAGGTGGAGGTACCCCTGAGGTGGGGCACCCTGGTATGGGGTACTCCTGCAGTGGGGGCACCCCGGTATGGGGCACCTCTGATGTGAAGGTACCCCCCAAGGTGGAAGCACCCTGGTATGGGTCATCCTGGTATGGTCACTCAGGTATGGAGCCCCGCTGAGGTGGGGGCACCCCAATATGCGGCATCCTGGTATGCAGCCCCCCTAAGATCGGGGTACCCCTGAGGCAGAGGCACCCATCTAAGGTGGAGGTACCCCTGGGATGGGCACCTGCCTGAGGTGGGGGCACCCACCTGGTACCTACCTGGGGTTGGGAGCTGCCGTCTGGCTTAGGGGCACCGCTGGGGTCAGAGCACCCCAGGCCTGGGAGCACCCCAATGGTGTTTAGGGCACCCGCCTGGTTTGGGGATGCCAGCCTGGCATCGGGGCACCCACATGAGTTTTGGGCACCCCTGGAATGGGGGGGCACCCACCTGGAATACAGGCACCCACCGCCGATGGGGGCACCCGCCTGCCCGTTTGCTGCCTGCGCCGTGCCTGGCCGGCACCCCGGCACAGGGTGCAGAGCACCCAGCACCCCGAGCAGTGGCGCGCCAAGGTCTCTGCAGAACCCCCCGCCTGTGAGTCGGGGGTCCGTGGTGCCGGAGCAGGGTCAGGACAGCCCGAGCGTCACCCGGACGGGATCTCACACTCCTCCGCACGCTGTTGTCGAGCCCCGGTGCCACAGGCAGCGCCCGCTTCGCCGGGACTTTCTGGGAAGCCAAAACTTGGCGCTCGCGGATGCCGCCGCGTCGGTGCCCTTCGGCCGTGGGGCACCCACCCGGACTCCATCGATCGCGGCACCGCGGCCTCCAAAATGCCTCCAGGCACCTCCGAAGCCGCTCGTGTGCCCCGAACAACGGGATTTGCACCTCACCAGGCCCCCCTCGGCTCTTCCTCCGGTGTGGGCTTCAACTGCTGCGGCCCAGACGTGTGATTTCATTGCGGACGCTCCTCTAATTTGAATGGCATCCTTCCTCCCGGCGAGCCTCTGGAGCGGGATCGCTCCCTCCCCAGCCCTCCGAACTTCTCCAGAACGCCTGGACACTGTCAACATCGTTGCCTGCAGGGGAAAAGGGGAAAAAAAAAAAAAAAACAACAAAAAAAAAAACGGGGAGGGAGGGGGAAGAAGAGCGAAGAGGAAGAAACCAACGTGATTATGGATGGTAAACACTGGAAATGGCACCGGGACTGACGTGAGCTGCTGCACTGACCTCCCCTTTCCACCCGCAGTGGGATAATATTTAACCGGGAGGGATCTATCCTTGCTCCCCGCGAGGGCAGATGTCCCCAACACCGCGATGTGGGTGAAGGACCCCATCCCTTGGCATCCCCCTGCCCTGCTGCCATGCTCCCTCTCCTCCCAGGCACGCTGATTGTACTTATTAAGAGTTATTAATACTTAATCAGCTGGCGGATTTAATTGTGCCAATATTAAAAATGCATCAATGTCAATTTTATTCATTAAATATTTACTTTGTTGAAGGGAAACTGTTTTGCTGCTGTTTTAATATCACTTGCAGACGCTTTTGGATGTGACCCCAGCAAATTGGGGGGGGGGGGAGCCCTCGGGGAGGGAGCGGCGTGGCGGCAGCACGGGGACCCGGGATGCTCCCCCCGGGAAGAGGAGAGACGGAGGGGAAAGGACCGGACCCCGTCCCTAGGGCTCGCTGTCGCCGCCAGCTCCGGGCGAGCGAGTGGCTTGGCAG